CAAGAGCTGGGATTACAACCACGTCCAGTCTCAATCACTGTCTCAGTGTGCCTCAGGAGTGGGGCTGGCATGGCAGGCCCAAGGATCGAACCCCAGCCCCTGCGCCTGCTTGCAGGCACTTTAATCTGCTGAGCTATTTGGCCGGCCAAAATTTTTCTTTCTAGAACACTGAAAAATACTGAATAAAAATGCTGAAAATAAAAATAACAGAACACCAGCTAGTTTCATTGGACTTTAAGATTCAACAAAAATAAACTGTCTTGTATCAAAAGGAGCTGCTGAATTGTACCTTGATAAGAAACTAGATCTTCAAAATTATTTATGGCCTCTGTGTCTACCTTGAGCTTTGAATTTCTCCATCATGGCCAAATGTACAATTTAACTCATAATAATCTTTAAACTGTGACTCTTTAGTCATGAAATAACATATGATTTTCCACTCAGCTTTTTGTAACCTATCTACCTACACAGACCTCATTAACTACACTGAAATTAAAGTGTCCCAAGCAAGAACCCAGAAAACATTATTTTAATGCACTTTACTGCCCTTTGGACAAAATCATATTAAGAAAATGTTTTCATCTCCAACATCCTTTAAAAAAAACACTGTTCAAAAAGTAATCATGAAGATACCACATTACTGCAAATAAAATCAGATTTTAATGTTTCATCAGATTTTAAAGGACATATCTAAGTGGAGTGATGTAAGAACAAAACATGGCTTTATAAAAGTAACATTAGATTGGAACTGAGTGAAATATCCACCTGGAACATATATAATTCAGTATCTTTAATATCTGCTAAATGAAAAGACTGAGTTAAATCATTATAAAGTACTATCAATTCAAATTATAATTATTTTCAGTCTTTCTTTTCTTCTCTTCCTCATTTTCTCATTCCCTGACTCTCTCTATCCCTGCCTCCATTTCCCCTCTTTTCTTTCATTCTATGCTTCTGAACTGGCGATTAAGACCAGAATCTTCACCTGTTTATCAAAGTAAAAACATAATGAAAATGATGAATAAATCAAGGAATGGTTGACGTCAAATGGCAAAAGGATCAGGTAGAATAAATCTGCATTAGATATTCAACCAAATAAAAGGACTTAAAATACCCTTTCTGTAAAACATAAGGAAAAAACATGGAATTTGACTCTTACATTAAAATGTCAGACACTATGGGCAACAGCTTTCACAATAAAAAATAGGTAATATCACAACCATTGTTAATTTGCTGTTCTTATTTTGAAAAACTATAGTGTATGTATTGTTGTATGTTACCCTGTTTCTTTCTTTCTGCTATTTATTTTTGTTTTGTTTTTACTCTTCAAAATAATATAAAATAAAATAAAATGTTCAAACACTAATAAAGAATTCCATTTCTTTTTCACATATTGTTTCTTTCTTTTCTATTTTAAGAAAAACAATAAAACAAAATTTCAAAACAACATAATAGGAGAGTAACAGTGGTTAATATGTTGTGCATTGTTATCTTCAAAATAGTTGCTCAGAGTACAAGAAACAGGCATGAAAAAGTGACCAAATGATATTAGTACAAACTTTTATTTTCAATTAATTGAGAAATTAGTAGTATGGCTATTTTAACTATCATATATATTTTTCCCTTCCTTCCATTCTCCTTTCCCCCATCCTAGTGTCTCTTTCCTTTGAAACAGTTTCTTCCCATTTCATAAAATCTATTGTATATTTTGAATCTAAATCTAAACTTTTACTCTTTCAACTTCTCACACTAGGGAGACAATATTGTTTCCGTGTGTGTGTGTGTTAGTATAGGGTCTACAGGGTCTCACTACACAGATCAGACTTGTAGTGATCCTCCTGTTTTTAGCCTCCAAATAAATATTGTTTTCTTCTTAAGAAAATATTTTTCTGCCCCAGATTTTCCTGATGGCAATTTTAACATCCTTATTCCTAAAGCTATAGATCAATGGATTTAGCATAGGTTCCACAATGGTATAGAACAAGGAAGACACTTTTTCTTTGCCAAGGGGCAAAACAGATGGTGGTTTCAAATACACAAAAGCCCCAGAACCAAAGAAAAGACAAACCACAATCATGTGGGAGCTGCAGGTGCTGAAAGCTTTTGACCTACCCTCTGTGGAACGAATGTGAAGAATGCTAGACAGGATGAGAGCATAAGAAATGCAGATGGTGACAATTGGTATTCCAATGTCAATAGCCACCACAATAAAGACCACCAACTGATTCGCATCAGTATTATTACAGGAGAGCTGAAGAATAGGAAAGATATCACACATGAAATGATTGATAAGGTTGTCAGAACAGAAGGTCAGACTCATTATACTGCCTGTGTGGATGACAGCACCAGCAAGCCCCATCCCATAAACACCTAATAAGAGGAGGGAACACACCCGGGAAGACATGGTGACTGTGTACACCAGTGGGTTACAAATTGCAACATAGCGGTCATAGGCCATTGCTGAAAGGATGAAGGACTCAGAAATTACAAAGAAGCAGAAGAAAAAGAGCTGAGTCATGCACCCAGCATGCAAGATCATGTTCTTCGTGGAGATAAAACTCATCAGCATTTTGGGGGTGATGGTGGTGGAGTAAGATAGATCTATTATGGAGAGGTTGAAGAGGAAGAAGTACATGGGGCTGTGCAGGTGAGAGTTCAGTGCTATTAGGATGATCAGGCCCAGGTTTGCGAGCACTGTGATCAGGTAGAAGCCTAGAAATAGGAAGAACAGAGGTATCTGGAGTCCTGGTTGGTCCGTTAGGCCTGCGAGGATGAACTCTGTCACAGAAGAGTTCTTGGCTACCATTCTCTCTCAAGTGTTTTCTGTGGGGTGAAGAAAAGAGAACAGTTTACAAACAAAGAAATATCAGAATGTCCCTTTTGTATTTCTTCCATATTCTTGAGAAAGTAATCCATAAAGAGAGATTAAATATTGTTAGGAAGACTTCCCATTTATTATGGTAGTAGCAAACTACCAAGTGATTTTAACTTTCACAGTACCATGTGAAGGTAAATTTTGACTCAGAATGACAGCTGGTGGTGCTCAAGAAAGGGATTCGACAACATTCCATGTGGTTTTCAGGTTTCTAAGTAAATGCTATCCTTTTCTCCTGACCTCTGCTTCAGCTGTTGCTCCTGAGCCTTTTCCCTGTCCTAAGAGGCAGAAACTACCATGGCTCCGGATAAGTGCTGTAAAAAACTGAGGTTGTGTTTTTGTTGTTGTTCTGATTCCACATTTTTATTTTATACTTTAATTAACTTTATTTTAAAAAATACAGAAGTTTTGTTTTTCAGAATCTCTTAGCTCAGGAAAGTCACATAGAGAGAAAACATTCTCTCAAGCTTTCACAGAGAACAAACTGGTCAAGCAATGGCCATGACTCCTCCACATGGCTGACACTGACAAAAGATCTACAAACTTTAGTACAGAGTTTCGGGGTAAATCCTGAGGGGATTTGACTGACCTCATAAGATAAAAAGTTACATTTATTGTTATATAGGTCTTGCTTTATCTTGGTCTTGCCAATCCAGCAGAAAAGTATAAAAATGAGGTCTAAAAAGTAAAGCAATGTTAATATGCTGAGCTGTAAAAGGCTCAAGTCAACAACTTCTGATATTGCCAGTCATACGGATAACCCACTACTACTGTAGACTACTGTACTATATTGGTTTACTTTGCTGAATTCATGCACCTAATATATGAACGGCAATGGAATACCCATCTCTGACAAAACTAAACAACAAAAAAAGGGGGGGCTGGGGAGATGGCTCAGTGGAATAAACACTTCCCTGGCAAGCACAAGGACCTGAGTTCAATCCCCAGTTCCGCAAAAAAAAAAAAAAAAAAAAAAAAAAAAAAAAAGCTAAACAAAAATGGTTGATATAAATGGACCATTTTGTAGTGGAAAAAAACTACATATATACATATATATATGTTTATAATATATGTGTGTGTATAGCATAGCATAGATGTACAACTACTTTCTCTTCAATGAGAAGAAAGTTTTGAACTAATAGTGCTTAGATAAGATATCATGTCTGCATCTTGTTCTATGAATAACTACTACACAGACAACAATATACAATGTATTAATTATTATAACTGTCCTACTAACCTGTTTTGAAACTGTCTCATTGCCACTTCTTTCTCAATAAAATTAATATAAAAAAATCTCTTAGCTCAAGTAGCTGTATATTTAATAGCATTTTTTGAACTAAAATTCATTTAAGATGCCCTGTAAGTGGCTATGCTCTATAAAAGACTGTTCTAAAAGTTATGAGAAAATATTACTATCTCATTTTACAGATGAATCAACCAACATTAAGAACTGAGGCCGAGGGCCAGGGAGATGGCTCAGTAGGATAAGCGCTTGACTGGCAAATGCAAGGATCTGAGTTTAATCCCTGGTTCTGAAAAAAAAAAAAAAAAGAACTGAGGCCAAAGTCATAAAAGCACTGAACTTCTTCACACTGAAGAATATTGATAGTCTCACTCTTAGAGTATGCACATGTAACCCCCATGTAACATCACAAGGCCATGGCCAAGAAGAACTCACCTTCCTTATTTAGAACTACAGTGACATTCTCTCCTGTCTCCTGCACAATTTCCCTGGGAAGAACAAAGACCTGGTAAAAAGGACACAGCAGACTTGAGCTCAGACTCTTCTCCTCCCAGCCTGGATGAAATGATCAGAACCCCTAATTGATCTGGTTACTGTTTTGGCATTGAAGAACACTATCCACATTTGTGAATTTTCCCAAGAATGCCTGAACTTTCAGAATGGTATCTGTGCTCAGTTTTTACCTGTAGGTAACATCAGAAAAAGCATTTTGATTCCCAATTAAAGGTTTCAGTGACCTGATTATTGAGACAGTGTCTCCCTCTGGACCATTTCCTCAGAGACACCTGCCGTAAGAAAGAAGAAACATTTGTTTTCCCTTGTCATTGCTTGTAATAATTTTAGAGGTCATTATTTCATTCAGCTAACATCTATCCTGTGCTCTTAAGACAAATGTAAAGAACCAGCCAGATAGCTCAGTGGATTAAGGCACCTGCTTAGGCAGACACAGGCACCAGGGTTCAATCCCTGGTGTGCCATGCCAACCCCACCACTGGGGTGCACTGAGATGGTGAATGAGACAAGGTGTGGTGGTGCAGGCCTGTAATCCCAGTGCTTGGGAGACTGAAAACAGGAGGTTCACTATGAGTCTGATCTGTATAGTGAGACCCTGCAAAATATGTACTAAATACATAAAAATGAAAATTTTAATATAAAAATGATTTTCATTAGCATTTCTTGAATACTCAATAATCTACCTATAATGTTTAACTTTTCTGTGTCAATTTGATTGGCTTGGGAATCACCTGGAACATTGGTGAAGCATATTGCTTGATGCATGTGGGTGTGTCAAGGAGCTGTGATCTTACATACTGTATCTATTTTCAGGATCTGTCATCTAGGCGCTATTCCTCTGCTCTGCTTCCCAGCCTCTATGTGTTGTACAGCTTTGCTCTTGTGGTGCCCTTTTACCATAATGTTTATGCCTTAGAGGCAGATGACTATTGACTAAATCTCCTGAAGACACAAGACAAATTAACTTCTCTTTGTTTATGTTGTGTGTGTCAGTGTTATGTCTCAGGGAAAGAAAAGCTCACTAATAGAATATAAAACACAATGCCCTTATAGTAGCCCCTTATTCCCAAGGCCCAAAGCTCTACATAAACAGCATCCTGTTTATATCTCATGACAATAGTACCTGTTTATGAGGTGACTTGGTCACAGAAATTATATATTTCAGATCCTAGAGCTATAACTAATTCTACATGCCTCTAATTCTCTTATCTGAACCAACAGACTCAAATACCGCTGAAAACTTCAAACACAATGAAATCCATGAATCAAAGTCTTGGTCTTCTTAGATTTAAAGCCTCTTAAAGAATAACAAATAAGTGTCCAATGTACTTAATTATAAAGAAGTGATAAAAGCAGGCAAGTTTAACAAGGATAGTTCTTGTGATTTAGAGAACATCAATTCCAAATTTTAATTCATTATAGGAATTAATCATACCATTTCTACTTCAAAAACAAAAGGCAATCCCCTCAATTCCCTTCCCTATTCTCTCATTAAGATAAGGTTCATGAAAAAAAAAAGAATTTTTATCAGGTAACTTCTCTCTCTTTCTGCCAAGACTGATTTTTCTCTAGATTATTCACCTATCAGGCTTCACTGTGGGCCTCAATGTCTCCAGCACATCTTCCCTGAAAACACCTCACAATTACCTCTTTTGTTTTCTTCTATTTATCTTCCACATCCCCATGTCCAACCCCTGCCTTGGAAAATATTATCTAGGGGCCAGGAAGATGGCTTAGTAGAATAAGCGCTTCCCTGGCAAGTGCAAGGGCCTGAGTTCAATCCCTGGTTCTGCCAAAAGAAAGAAAAAGAAAGAGAGAGAGAGAGAGAAAGAAAGAAAGAAAGAAAGAAAGAAAGAAAGAAAGAAAGAAAGAAAGAAAGAAAGAAAGAAAGAAAGAAAAAGACAAAATATTATCTATCCTATGTCTAAATCATTCAGCTGCTTATTACTGTTTCTAGTGAAATAAAGGGAATCAAAGCTCAAGAATGTCTATAGAAAGGTACAGAGAGGAAGCAAAAATGGAAAGGACACTGAGTTCTCAGGCTGAGCCCTAAGTTTTACATATACAGAAAAAGATTCTGAATATCTAGGAGACAAAAGCTGCAGGGCTTTAAAAACAGAACAGAGTGAACAGAGAATGCTATCTTAAAGAGAGCTTAAAATTCTGATTTAATGAAAGAGAAGAGATTCTAATTAACAAATGCATCAAGGTGAGATCTTTCAAAAGCTATATCTTAAATGAAGACAAAGTCTTTAGGCTAAAGGCAACAAAAACCAGAGCCATCAGAAAATCACTGTTCACATCACAACAGGATTAAATCAGTCTCTTAATAAATTTAGTGCATCCTGCAACAGAAATGATAAAATAATCCACAAGGTACACCTTCATAAAATCAAAAATTTTGAGTTTGATGATTTTCTTTTCACTTCTTCCACTCTTTTGTACCTTTCAAGACACAAAAACTTTCTAATGAGATGAGATCCTAGTTTGTGATTGAAGTTTTTCTCATGCAGTTTGTGTTTTGTTCAAGAACTTTCTGCTTGAGTTAACAAAAACCTTCCTCAAATTCATTTAGAACCAGAAGAGAACCAGAATATGAAAAGCAATCATGGAAAACAAAGAAAAGGCAGGAGGTATCACAGTCCCTGACCTGAAATTATACCATAAACATACTGTGATAAATCGACATGATACTGGCATAGGGAAAACCTGAAGATCAGTGGAACAGATTAGAAGATGCCTTTTATTCTGCTGGCAACAATCCTCCGGTGGGCCTCCTACACCCTGTACCACACTAGTTCATTTCAGCTGGGTGTAAAAAGTTGACCACTAGTTAGCTATCCACTATAGGTACATATAATTAGATTTACTAAAACTAATTTAGAAGTCTTCATCATGTTGATATTGATACTGAAGATAATTATACCACCAGACATTTGGCTATCAAGATCAAGTGATTTGTATGAGAAAACAATCCTGTAATTCTAGCAACCAGGGATTTCTGAGGCAGGAGAACTGTGACGCTAAGGCCTGTCTGAGCTTCATAAAGAAAACATGTCTCAAAACATTTTCATAACTACTCTTCTGTATTAGAAATATTGCAAAGTCCTTTTAACATAAAGCAAAATATTAAAGCTATTCATGCTTTCACCACACATTCATATTCAATGATTATATTTGGTTCTTTAAAGTTTGATGTTAGATTATGTGGTGTTTTTAAACTGTGTATTATTCATGCCTTTACATATCAATAAATAAACTTCAGTAACATTGTTTTTAGGAACCCATGATATTCCTTAAGTGGGCATGCTACCATTTTGTTTATTGCAACTTCTTGACATTTTATTATGTCACTTTTATACTGTGTTAATTGCTGTTGAGATGAAGACACATTTTTGAAAACTTAACCCCTTTTAACATTTATTTCCTTTTTCACTGATACATAATAATTGTACAATGTATAATTTATAAGATAAAATGTGATGGCTCAACATAAGAATATATTCTATAATGCTCAACCCAGGGACTCTATATACCTATCATCTCCATCATTCATCATTTCTCTATGATAAAAAAATCAAAATTTCTCTTTAGTAATTTTGAATTATACCATATAATCAAACAATACTCATTTTACTGCATAATAGATGATCAGAAATTATTCTCTTAAATCAAGCACTCTACAATGTTCTTTCTCCACATCTTTCCTACACTCTAGCAAGCACAATTCTGCTCTCTTTGTATGAGATTTACATATTTGGGTTTCACATAGCAGTAAGACCATGCAGTATTCATTACTCTGAGTCTGATAATTTCACTAATTTTCAGAGAATAATACATTAATGATTGTACTCCTACCTCCAAAAATATGGTCTTTTAAAAGATAAGACTGAAATTGTCTCATAAGAAATTCTTTTTCAATTACACCTCTACCAGCAATATATGAACATACCTTTTTCCTGTGTCTTGTTGAACAGATGCCTAACAAACTAAGGTAATCTGATGCATTAAAATGTGACCATAGATGGGGGATGGTGGTGTGCACCTGTAATCCCAGCTCTTGGAAGGCTGTAAACAGGAGGATCACTATGAGTCTGATCTAGTAGTAAGACTCTGAACACCCTGTAGACCCTTTCCTAAAATACAAAAAAATAAAATGTGATCATATTACTTTAACTCATATTTATTTAATTGCAAGATACATTAGGCTTCAGGGATTCATTTGTATATTTTTTATCTTGGCATTCATGTGCTGCATATAAATATGTCAATCGGCATTGAGACACTATTGAAATAAATTAAAATAAACTCTATTCAGACATACAGTTCAGTTAGTTTTCACAAATGATTATATTGATGTAGTCACAATTCAAGGCAGACATATGACATTTTTACCACCTTTGAAAATTCCCCAATAGGATGAATGACCTCCACCTGAACATCTATTTCCTGATTTCAATCACTCTGCTTCATTTGTGTCCATTATTAAATTTATAAAAATGTTATCCAACCTATACACCTTTGTGACAAATTCTTTTCATGCAGCATTAAGATGTGAGATTTGTTCATGTAGAGATTCATGCAAGTGTGTGTCAGCAGTTACCTCATTTTATTGGAGAGTAATATTCTCTCACATGAACATACTCTACCAGTTCAGGGAAACTGGATCATTTCCTGATAGGACTAATATAAATACAGGTGCTATGAATATCCATCAATAAGAATTTACATGGAAATACGCTGTCACTTCACTATGACAAATATTCAGGGATGAATTTTCTACAATGCATGAAATGGGTACTTTTTTATAATTTTCTTTTATTTTAAAAATTAAAAATGAAAGCAAGAAAAACAAAAGTGAAGATAGAAACAGAGCAACATATAACAATACATAAGTTACAGATTTTCAAAACAGGAATAGATGATTAACACTAATTGATATATTATCTATTTTTATTGTCAAATCTGTTGTTCAGATTAACAAATACAGTTATGCAAGATGGGAGATATAATTGATTATTCCCACATGCCTTCATGAAATCTTAAATTTTTGTTCTCTCTTTCTCTTATTATCTTTTTTAAAAAATTTACTTTAAAGAGAGTATAGTACTAATTGGCATGACATTAGAAATGATACACACTTAAAAGACCAAAATGAAAGATATTTCAATCATGGTTTTAGTTTTACACATTGCTGTCCTCAATGTAGTTGCTTAGTTCACAGATTTCAGCATAGAGAGTCAGTCATGGTGAGATTTTTACCCATTAACTGCTATTTTCAAAAGCCTGATGGAAATTCTTAGGACAATTGCCTTATCCATCTTGTATATATACATGTATATATACCCCTACCTTATTACCTAACTTCTCTCCTTTCTCTCTCTTCATTGTTTAATCCCTAAGTTTTGTTTCTTTCCATTGAACTGTGTCTGTTACAGCTTTATGTTTTTATATCTTTTGGGGGGTTCCAATACTAGGGAGACAATATTATATTTACATATGTGGGTCTGTTTTAATTCACTTATGAGTATAGCCTCAAGTTGTATCCACTTACCTACAAAGGCTTCAAGTTTGTTTTTCTTTATAGATGAGTAATACTCCATTGTGTGATAACACCACATCTTCTTCATCCATTCCTCAGGTGACAGGCATTTTGGTTGTCTCCAAGATTTGGCTATCACAAACTGTGTTGCTATAAACATGGACGCACATATATCACTATGATATGATGTTTTCAATTCTTTTGGGAAAATTCCCAGAAGGGGGATTATTAGATTGAATGGAATTTCCAGTCCTAATTTTCTGAGGAATCTCCACACTGATTTCCATAATGATTGCACCAGTCTACATTCCCACCAGCAGTGGAGGATTCTTTTTTCCCCACAGCCTCTCCAACATTTGTTGTTGGTTGATTTCTTCATGACAGCCATTCTTTCTGGAGTGAGATGGTACCTCAATGTTGTTTTAATTTGCATTTCTTGATTGACCAGTGATGTGGAGCATTTTTTCCTGTATTTATTTGCCTCTTGTATTTCTTCCTCTGAGAAGTGTGATGTTCATGTCAGGGTTTTTTTTGTATAGGGACTTTAAATATTGGGGCCTTAATGCTTTTTAGTTCTTTATATATTCTAGATATGAGATCTTTTTCTGAGTGATTATTAGTTAAGATTTTTTTCCAAATTTGTGAGTTGTCTTTTCATTCTATTGGTAATTTCTTTTGACATGCAGAAACTTCATGAACTGTCTCCTTACCCCTGTCTTCAAGATTTCCACCAACTTTCTATTCTAGGCTATTTAGTGTTTCTGTTTTAATGTTTAGATCTTTAATCCATTGTGACTTTAGTTCAGTGCATAGTGATAGACCTGGGTCTAGCTTTAGTTCTTGACATGTGGAGAGCCAGTTTTGCCAGCACCAGTTGTTTAAGAGGTGAATATGTTTGGCCCCTTTGTCAAAGATAAGGTGGCTGAGTGTGTGTGTAGTTGCATATACATCTTCTAATCTGTTCCATTGATTCTCGGATTTGTTTTCTTTGCTAGTGTCATGCTTGCTTTATCACAGTAGCTTTGTAGCATAATTTGAAGTCAAGGATTGTACAACCTCCTGCCTTGCCTTTCTTGCCCAAGATTGCCTTTGTAATTCTAGGCCTTTTCTGCTTGCAAGTAAATTTTAAGAATTTTTCTCTGGTCTGTGTAGTACATGATGGTATTTTGATAGGGATTGCATAAATCTGTATAACAATTTGGGGAGTATGGCCATTTTCTCAATATTGGTCGTTTGTTTGTTTGTTTGTTTGTTTGTATACTATTGTGAAGGGTATTGTGTCTCTAATTTCTGAGCTATCTCCCAGGCCCTATCTTGTATCTCAGTGAGATTCCTATCTGTGTAGAGGAATGTTATTGACTTTTGGGTATCAACTTTGTATCCTGCTACTGAATTTGTTTATTAATTCTAGGAGCTTCTTGGTGGAGTTTTTGAGTCTTTCAAATAGAGTATGTTCTATCTCTTGTCCAATGGCTCTAGCTAATGATTCCAGAACTATATTGAATAGGGGCAGTGATAGATGACACCCTTGTCTTGTACCTGATTTGAAAGCAAAGCCTTTCAGTTTTTCTCCATTTAGAATTATGTTGGCTGAGTGGGAAAATAGCTCGATCGTCTAAAGTACCTGCTTAGGCAACATTAGGTAAATATATGGACTACGGTTCTAGCTCTGGAACTACATGTCATGCCAGCCTCACCCCCAGAGCATGCTGATATGGCCACACAAAAAAAAAAATTATGTTGGCTATTGGTTTATCATAGATGGCTTTTATCAGGTTGAGGTATAGGCCATCTATTCCAATTTTCTGTAGGGCTTTCATCATGAATGAGTGCTAGACTTTGTCAAAAGCCTTTTCTGCATCTAATGATTGTGTGGTTTTTGGTTTTAGCTGTATTGATATAGTGTATTACATTTATAGTTTTGCATATATTGGGGGGGTTTCTATTTTAGTACAGGGTCTACAGGGTCTTCAGGGTCTCCAGGGTCTCACTTATAGTGATCCACCCGTTTAGCCTCCCAGAAACTGGAATTACAGGTGCCCACCACCACACACAGTCTCAATCACTGTTTCAGCACACCCCAGGGGAGGGGTTTGCACAGCATACCAGGTATCAAATCCCAGCTACTGCCCTAAGCAGACACTTTAATCTGCTGAGCTATTGGCTGGCCCTAGATTTGCATATGCTGAACAATCCTTGTATCCCTGGGATGAATCCTATCTGGTAGCAGTGTATAATCTTCTTGATGATTTGCTGTATTATATTTGCTAGGATTTTATTGAAGATTTTTGCCTATGTTCATGATGGAGATTGGCCTGTAATTTTCTCTTTTGGTTGGGTCTTTCTCTGGTTTTCATATCAGTATAATATTTGCCTCCACGAATGATTTTGGGAGTATTGTTTCCTTTTCAATTTCATTGAAGAGTATGAGGAGTATTGAGATTAAATCTTCTCTAAATTTCTTGGAGAATTCAGCTGTGAATCCTTCATGATTTAGGATTTTCTTTTTTGGTAAGTTTTTTATTACCTTTTCAATTTCACTGCCTCATATCAGCCTTTTGACAAGTATATATTGAAAATATTTTCCCTGGTAAATATACTATACTTATCAAGCCTGTCATCCCCCTACTAGGTATTTTTCCAAAAGAACTGAAATCATACCACAGCGATATATGTGCACCCCTGTTTATAGCAGCGCAATTTGAAACAACCCAAATGCCCATCAACTGAGGCATGAATAAAATTTATACAGCATATTTACACATTGGGGTATTATTCAGCTATAAAAAAGATAAATTT